TCTATTCCCGTAAGGATTTACACCCTCGGAAACCCTGTACAGGGTCGCTATGGGTCGGAACCGACTCGACGGCACTTAACAACAACAACAACAAAATGTCTTACTGATTGTATGAAAATCCATATTACCTTAAAAACAATTTTTCCCCCATTTCATTCAAAATGCCTCTTATTACCATAAACACATGGTTGCAACATAAAATTCAAAGTAGAAAAATAATTTGGTCTTGGCATGGTTAACGCAAGTGAACTTGGATTTTGTGGGGACAGAGATGAATGGAAACCAGCCATGGTAATAGAACACTCCAGTTAGGCACCATCATCACCAGACAGCTCTCTGTACCCCACACATCCTCAGAGCCTGGGCCTCTGAGCTGGACCTGTGTCCTCTATTCAGTAGTTCTCAGCCTCAAAACTAGGTGTTATGACCCCATTTTACTGCTGGGGAAACTGAGGCCCCAAGGCAGGGAGGGACTTGACAGAGATATCCCTGTGAGGCGGGCAGAGTCGGGACAGACACCAGTTCCTGGGGCCCAGCTGGGGGTCTTTGGGCAGCTCCCCTTCTGGCTCGGCTGACTTGTTCTTCATCCTGTCCACTGGCCAGGTGTCCGGTTTCTATAAGGGCCTCTCGCTGCCTGTGTGCACTGTATCCCTGGTCTCATCTGTGTCTTTCGGCACCTACCGCCATTGTCTTGCGCACATCTGCCGGTTCCGGTACGGCAGCTCGGACGCCAAGCCTGCCAAGGCCGACATCACGCTCTCAGGATTCACCTCTGGCCTTGTCCGCGTGAGTGGCGGGGCACAGGCAGGGTGGGAAAATAAGGCCAGGTTGGGGATGAGGACCCAGGCCTCCCTATGGGCCAGGGTTCCCTATCTCAGCAGTGTGCAGCTGAGGAGGTCTAGCTGGTCATCAGAGCACTGGCCCGTGGAGAGAGAGGGATGGCTGAAGGGACTCAGCATCTCCCTGTCATGCCAGGAGGCCCAGAGGGACAGGAGGTCACCTGGAAGACCATGGGGCTGACTCTCTAGGAATGGCTCCACCTCCAAGTGGGGACTCGTCCTTCTTGCTCACCTGGTCAAAGTCCCTGCCCTCATATGTTCACACTCCAGTGACATGTAACAGCCAACCAGAATGACACGGACTACGACAAGGACAGTCAAGTCCAACGCTCCTGCCTCTTGACTGTCATTTGTCATGCTGAGCTTCAGATGTCATGAGGATTCAATGAGATCCTGAGTGTAAAGCCTCCAGCCTGGTGCCTGACATAGAGGAGCACCCACAAAATGTCACTGGTCATATTATCATACTATCAAAATGACTGTTGTTAGGTACACTCAGAACCGGAGTTACAGGCATTTACTTAACACTTGTATTAGGGGAAAATGTTGCTGAAGATCTTTTTCTTTGGGGGCCCGGGGTGCTGACAAGTTTGGACTCGACTCCATCTCAGACTTTGAGTTGTCTGTAGCTTCCCGGGGCGCCTGGGCAAGATGAGGATAATGTTGGCAGCTCCCACAGGTCCAGGGGTGTGTGGAACCATGGGATTCCTCCTCCTTGTTTCAGGTGTTCCTGACCTCGCCCACTGAGGTGGCCAAGGTCCGTCTGCAGACACAGACACAGCAACGGCGACTCTCCGCCTCGTCCACTGTGTCCCCCATGTGTCCTGTGCCCCCTGCTCTTACATGCCTGGCCCCTGAGTCTAAGTATCGTGGACCGTTGCACTGCCTGACCACGGTGGCCCGTGAGGAGGGTCTTTGGGGCCTCTACAAGGGCAGCTCAGCTCTGCTTCTCCGGGATAGTCACTCCTTTGCTACCTATTTCCTCTCCTATTCCATCTTCTGTGAGTGGCTCACCCCAGCTGGTCAGAGGCAGCCAGGTAAGCCCAGGGCTGGATCTGGGTCGGGGGATGTGGGCCCCAGGCAGCCAGGTGAACCCGGGGCTGGGCCTGGGAGGGGTGGAGGTGGGCCGCAGCCCAACAGGAGTTGTGTGGAGACAGACTGGGATGAGGCCATACCACAGTGGTCATCTGCGGAGCCCTCCCTCACTTGTAGAATGGCCCCTTTGTACATGTGGAGTAAATACTAGCTCAGGGCTGCCTGGCTCTGCCGGAAAGCTACTGCGTGGCCTCACACAAGTCACCTTGCTGTTCCCAAGCCTCAACTTCCCCAGGGGTCCCCTAGGGCTGGACTGCTGCCCTGGGCACCCACTGGGCTTCCAACCCAAGCTCTCCTGGGTCTCCCTGCAGATGTCTTGGGCGTACTGGTGGCTGGTGGCTGTGCAGGGGTGCTGGCCTGGGCTGTGGCCACCCCCATGGACGTGATCAAGTCGCGCCTGCAGGCAGATGGGCAGGGTCAGCATCGCTACCGGGGCCTCATGCACTGCGTGGTGACCAGTGTGCGGGAGGGGGGCCCTCGTGTCCTCTTCAAGGGGCTGGCTCTCAACTGCTGCCGAGCCTTCCCCGTCAACATGGTGGTCTTTGTCACCTATGAGGCCATACTGAGGCTGGCCCAGGGCCTGCTCACATAGCCAGTCCCAATGGCCCCCGGGCTTCGAGAGGCTTCCAGGAGGCAGAGGGGAGTATCGGGGGTCTGGGTCCACCGCACTAAAGCTCAGGCCAGCTGGACGGCAAGAGTCCAGTGCAGAGCAGGCAAACTTCAAGGGCAGACCTGTGGTCAGCCCAGGGTCGACCTTCGGGTCACACCAGCCTGGGCAGAGTGGGCCTTGGCTGGGACTTTCTCTGAAGCCCCCTCCCCATCCACAGAGCCCCTCCTCACTGCCATCCATTTCCTGGGCCCCTGCCCAGCCCCTCCACCCATTCACCCCCAGCTCCCACCTCTATTTATTGTGCTGCCTGCCCCTCACCCTCTTCAGACCTTACACTCGAGGTGCTCCCTCAAGGGCTGGACCCGATGAGCAGACATGCTCCCAGGCTCTCTGGGACTGGGAGACCTGGCAGAGGTCTGGTGTAAGTGCTGTGGAGACACCCTCAATGCCTGGGAATGCCCCAGAAGGTTGCTTGGAGCTGTTAATAAATGTTTCTGAGGTGGTCAGCGGAGTCACTCAGTCTGAGGGAGGAAGGGCTGAGGTCCTCGTACTTCTTGAAGCTTGCCCGCCCGTACCCGGAGCCAGGGGCAGCAGGGTGAGCACTTTGGACCTGCTGTTGTTATACACATGGGCACACTGAGGCCCGGCCAGGCTCTTGGCTGACTCTGCTCTCAGCCTTTGGGGTGGGGGGCCCTGACCCGTCCTCCATCCACACCCTGATTCCTGGGTGAACCCTGGCTCTAGCCAGCTCCATCCACCGTCCTGGCCTCTCCTTGCCCCAACACTTGACTTTTAGTGACCTCTCTGGAGAGGGCTGGAGGTGGGGAGGCATCTGGAAAACACTCTAAACATCTGGCTGAAGTCAGAGGAGGGGGATGTCCAGGCTCACACTGGAAGGGTGGGATTTATGATTGAGCTCCAGAGACCCCGGCCTCTCCCTGTGGGGGTGACAGGGGCCAGGAAGGCAGGCCTCGTCCCAGTGCCCTCAGCACATCTCAGAACACGGGATCTTGACTGAGCCTTTGGCCTGAGTGACCTCCAGCCTCTGGTGGAACACACATTGTCCTGTTCCCAGAACGGTGGGTGGACACGGTCCTGAGTCTGTACAGGTTGTCCCTCTGCCCCCTTGGCCTGTCTGATGGTCATTCCGGGCACCACCTCCTCCAGGAAGCTCTGCTTGACCCCTGGCTGCTGCTATGTGTGTTTGGCTGTGAGCTCCTGAGGGCAGTGCATGTCGCATTTGGAGTCTGGACCCCAGCTCCCAGGCCTGCACATAGTAGGGGTATGGAACAAAGGAGATTATGCAGTACTTTCCTGAAAGTCCACCAAGGTTAAAACACACCATGCTCTGGTCAGTGCTGGGCACATGTCCTCCCAGGCCTGGATGTCCGGGCCACTTTTGGAAGATCAATGAAGGCCTGGCACAGCCTGGGAAGGAGAGCTGTCGGCGGCACTGCCGCTTCCAGGGAGGTGTTCCTGGATGGGGGACCTGGGCTCCTGCAGACCTGGCAGGCTTCACTGACCTACCCGTGCCCTGTGGTTGGCTTCTGCTCTACAACCTGAGGGTCTGCCTGGAGAAAGGTGGGCCCAGACTCACACAAGCCAGCCTTCCACTAACCCAGCAAAGTCCAGCGTTGGGGCAGCGTGGCCATCCTACTCCTCTGGTACCAATTGCTTCCCTGGATGTGGGTGCGGTTCTGTAGCCACTGCAATGGACTCCCAGCTCCCTGTCCACGCTCGCCCACTGCCCTTGGGGAACTGCTATAAACCATCAGTTTTCAGGGACTGTGGTGGAGAGGTGGGGCCTGGGTTCTGTGCACCGGCAATGACTGTGGGCAAGTCACCTGGCCACTTGATGGAGCGTACACCCCAAGGCCCTACACAGGAAGTGTCTTTGCTGCCCGTGTGAAACATGTAGGACCAGAGAGGTTCCCAAATCACTGTCACACAGCTGATGGGGGACTGGTCTGTGGGTCTCTGAAAACTCACACCCCGTGTACAAGGCTCTGCCCGGCCTGCCACACCAGTGGGTGGGTCTGAGGGTAGCAGTTGTGTGGTCCGAGGACTTCCACTATGCCCTCATTTAATCCGAGAGACTGGACCTGTGAAGTGGGTCCAACGGGCAGGAGGTGGCACCGGCTGCTATGGTCACACAGTGAGGGGCCCTCCAACCCTGCTAACACCACTTCTGAGCAGTCCGGGGCTGGCTCCTCACCTGCTTCCCACAGGCACCTGGAAAACAGAACCAGGTCTAGGTGTTCAGCTTGGGTAAAGTGTGGTGGTAAACAGTGACCTCTGACAGGCTGGGTCCCGGGGCAGGCCACTCTTCAGTGTCCCTTTGGCTCCAGAACCACTTGCTGTTGCCCCCAAAGGTGACCCACCAGAATCTGAGGCCAGCCCATAACTTTGGGCAGCTGCTGGCCTGACAGGTGGCCTTGGCTTCCTCCTCCCATCTCCCAGGCAAGACTAGGCCACACGGACAGATGGACAGGAGTGAAGGAAGTTTATTTCTGTCAGGAGAGCATGCGGGCAGGACACCTCAGCCAGGCCTGGATCCAGATATTCCCACCGCCCTGGGGGGCAGTGGGTGCCTCAGTCATTACTGCCTTCAGCACCGGCTGCCGAGGGCGCAGAGGTGGGATCACTCGCTGTAGACATGGGAGCCGTGAGGAGCAGGGAGGATTTCCAGTGGTGATGGTGGTGGGGTACATCAGCCACAGAGTTTCACTAACAGAGACTGGAGAGAATAAAAAGCGGCCGACTCCATCAAAGACCAAGTCTGAAAAGCAGCTATGAAAGCCGGGAGACACGTAGTCAACGAAGACCCAGACTTTCTAACATTGATGCCTTTTGTCCCATGGTGGAGACCCATTAAGAGTCCCTGAATTAATTGTTTATAGCCTTTAGTTTACAAATGTCACCCCTTTGGAGTCTGGAGGAGGGTGTAATGGTATTCAGAACCTTAGAGACGTCCTTGGGGGAACCTTGTGGGGGACACTCACAGCTGGCCTGCTCCATTAGACCACGTGACCCTAGCCGGGCTCCGTCCCTAACAGACAGACAATGGCAGAGAAGCAGTGTTCAATACACACAGGCCACCGGACAGCAGGAGGGACAGGTGCCGGTTGACAGAACCTATGAGGGTGGTGGCGGGGCGGGGCTGGGGTCTATGACAGACAACAGAGACAGGTGTCACTGGAAGTCGAAGAACAGCTTCCGGGGCGTCATGAACTCTTGCACCACCTCGTCCGTGACCTCCTGGCGCCGGGCTTGGTGCTCGGCGATCAGGGGCTGCAACACGTCCACCAGGGCCTTCTTCAGCTCGCCCGTGAGCATGGCCCCGCTGCTGTAGTCCTGAGGCGGGAGGGAGAGAGCAGTGAGGAGCAAGGCAGGGAGCAGAGAGCGAGCTCTAGTCACAGATGCTGTTACCTCGCTGTCACCTCCACCTGCAGCGGAAACTCTGAGTCTCCTTTAGGAAACGAGCCACCACTCTACCATCTATCTACCATTCCCTGCTGTGGAGCTGTAGGGTAAGCAACAGACTGCTAACCGTAAGACTGGTGGTTCACACCCACCTCTCACTCCTTGGAAAACCTATACAAGGTCACTGAGTTGGAACCGACTCCACGGCACTTAACAACCACCACCACCCATTTCAGTGTACCCTTCAGTGGGTTTCAGTGTAGTGTCAGCCAGGTGCAACTTTAGAACATCTTCCTCACCTCAACCTCAAACCCCTACATCACCATGGGTCCCTCATCCCTGTCAACAGATTTCCCTGATTTGGACATTCGTAGGTAAGGAACCTCCAACACGAGATCTCCTGGAACCGGCTTCTTTCACTTGCTCATCCAGAGCAGGCCTCAGAACTTCGCTCCTATTTAGGGGCAAATGCTATTCCAGTGTACGGCCAGCGGGTAGACGTTGGGTTGCTTCCACGCTTGGCTCTTGTGAACAGGCCACTGTGAGCCTTCATGGGCAAGCTGCCATGTATTTTTATTGTTACTTAGGAGCCGAGCTGCAGGATCCTATGAAAGTTTGTTCTGTGTCGCTGTGGATTTTACACAACTAGTGTAGCCTTTGTCCTTTGTTCCTGAGATCACCTCCCCAGTTTCGGACTCTCAGCTGTGGTTGGTCAGCTGACTCGGGGAGGTGCCTCACCGAGTCAGTCCCTGGCTGGGCAATGGGGCCCCAGTAAAGGCTCTGGACGTGGGAGCCCGTGACAGGACAGGTCCCAGAGCATGGGGGAGCTAGTGGATGGTGGGGGTCGGGGACATGGAGCTCATTTGCTCCAGCTCTAAAACTGTTCTGAAGTGGTTCGTGCCTGCGTAAGTCCTCCGTCCTCTAGTCCAACAGTCCCTCTCTATCAGTGTGTTCGGTTCCAGCACAGAACCTGCTGTGAGCACCACCCTCATGCTCAACATCTCTGTGGGAAAAACCTCTTCTCTATTCAGGACCATTTCTGCAGAAATGATCAGAAACAGTGTGGCAAGTCTGGGGCGGGTCTATGGAGATTCTTTGGGCTCTTTGTACTCACAGCTGAAGTGTCAGCGAGAGACCAGGGTGGCCAACACTCCACTCACCTAAGGCTTAGAATCACTGCAAACACAACAGCATCACAGAACCCCTGCTAACTCGGCAGGTGAGAGTTGAGGTCTTGTGGACATCTGCAATACTTTGATGCCTAGTAAGCCTTTGTGTGTGGTCACAGCGGTCCTACTCTGTTCAGCAGTAGGAACACTGTCTGGTTCTGCACCAGCCCCACGATCGCTGCTGTGTTTGGGCCCAATGCCGACAGCACTATCAATAGCATTGGTACTTTTTTCTCATGAGCTGTCTATTCTTGAAGCTTCTTGGCAAACGGTTAGGGAACGTGACTGAGGCTCGTTTCGGCTCTACCACACGGGCTGTTTGGGGCGGCGCTGGCTGGCCTGTGGCCCTTTCACTCACCTGTCTGATCTGCTCGAGCCTGTCATCATCCT